TTATATGAATAAATTCTATCAGACTGTACTTTCCCTGTACTGTAATTTAAACAAGCTGGACAGAAAGGCAGTGATCTTAATACCCTGATTTCCTGAGTTTTAGATTTGCGCTCATATTTCACCTTTGTCCTCTCCAGGTTCTGAAACCTTCAGCAAACTGTTCATTTTTTCTGAGCATCAGTGCCTAGTTCTCCTTACAAACATTAGAGGATATAATTCACTCAAATGAGGTTAGCACACTGTTAGCTTGTGGTCGGACCTCAGACATGGCCACAAGGTATACAGACAGATCAGAGACCAATTTTGTAAGCAATACAATATGAATAATTCTGGCCCGGGTTCCATCTATTTTTCAAATAAGGTCACTGCAGTTTGGACCCATCAGGATCACATGGAAACTGGTTGCAGTGGTTACACACAGCACTGGGCTATGCCGGTGCTGTACTGCGTGGTTCCTCATCAGCTGCGCCTAGTCTTATCTTGAGGACTCTAGGCAAGACCTTCTGCCTCTCTGTCCTCAGCATCCTCATCTGCGAGAATGGATAACTATATCCATTCCCTAGGGTTATCCTCGGAATGGTCCGTAAATGAATGCACAAAATGCTTAGAGCTGCCCCTAAGGTGGTGACACATGTTAACTACCGCCAGAAGGGAACACATGTTAACTACGGCCAGAAGGGAAGGCAAACTTTTAGGGACCTTTCATGCTGTTCAGAAGACAGCGTGGCTGCAGGAACAAATTCTGGGATGAAATTCCAGTCTGTTCTGTGCTCGCATTAGCCCAGACTTGCCCGCTTCTGGTTCAAGTGCTTAGCTACTTATTCTTTAACAATGTCAAACATATAATATACTTTGATCAACACCCCTTCCACCATCAGCCTCTCTTATCTCCCTGTCATTCCCACCAAACTTTTTCTTCCCAACACTAGCTCAACACTGGTCTCAACAATATCGACCTTGCCTTGAGCTCAACAATGTATACCTTACACCAGGCTCAACAATATACACCTTCTACCATAAGTCTCTGGAAGCCCACCCCCAGCACCCTGTCCTGATTTCTTGGCTGTCTATCAACCTCTCAAGACATTCAAATCTTAAGCCACTGCTTGAGTCTGTTCTTCAGTACCTAGAGAGTGCTGGGTTGTTCTCATGGAAACTAGCTTTTAGCCATGAGAGACATAGCATTAAGGAATTTTCTCTTGTTTTAAAGCTATGGTCATAAGATTCATAGGTAATCAAGAATAATCAAACCATTTATTTCTCAAAAAATGAATCCCCTAATCAGAAAGAAAGAGAGCTGAATTGCTAAACACAGTGTTATTTGCAATACACCTGTGCCTTTCAAAGCGCTCTGGGGTCATGAGATGGGGGCTTTGCTGTTAGGTGAGCCTGGGTTCGAACCCCACGTTATCCTCTTCCAGCTGTTTGACCATGAGCAAGTCACCTGCTTTTTGTGGGCTTTTAGGACTGAAGAAAGATCAGCTTGGTCTAACTGTATCTACAGGGCCACAGATGCTCCTTAAAATAACCACAAGTGACAAACTCAGAGGCAAGGAGGGCAATTTAGAATGGAAGGGTTGAAAAATGACAGTCGCATTCTCTTCTCCCCTTCTTAACCATACTCTCTATTTAAGGATCTCGGCCAGGAAGCAAAAGAGGAAACACGCATTGTGAAATGTGGCCAGTTATCTCTAACAGAGCAAAAACATGCACTCATGAGATGGCTCAGGAGGAAATGCGCTTGATGCCAAGCCTGGTGACTCGGGTCTAATCTCAGGAACCACATGGTGGAGGAGAAAACCCACCCGGGCAAGCTGTCCACCGAGCTCAATACACACACCGTGGCATATGCTGCACACACAGAGAGAGAGAGAGAGAGAGAGAGAGAGAGAGAGAGAGAGAGAGAGAATGAGAAAGAGAGGGACGAAAAGAAAGAAAGAAAGAGGGGGAGCAAAGAAGGGGTACATTACAGTTTATACCATTGACCGTCAACTCCAAGACTTGACAAAATTCCTACATGGGAATTTTCCAATGCTGTATTTTTTCGAACCAAACTATTCTAACTTGAAAATAGTTATTTCATAAGGCATAGGAGAAAGCCATGTTTAATTCCTACCCTGGAATCTTTAAGTGAATAGAAGAGAGAAGCAGAGAGGAGGAAATCACTTCCATCGTTATTATTTGGCAAGCTTTCATCTGAGCAGCCATACCCATGACTCCTAAAGTCCTCACAGAAGGAGGTTCTCATGGTTCCTTCCTCAGGATTGTTTTCGAGCCATCACACATCTCACAAGTTGTAGAGAATTGTATTTGCTGGGGTCCATCTTCAATTATGAGGTACATACTATGGGCTGGGCTCCTTGATATGTAGATAGATAGATAGATAGATAGATAGATAGATAGATAGATAGATAGAAGATGGTACAGTACATAGGTCAATACATGCATACATACATATACATATATAGATGATCAATAGATTTTAACCCACATATTCTATAACTGAAAGAAACATAAAATATAAAGAAGTTAGAAATTTTGATGCCTAATTAGGAAATCTAGTTTTAGATTGACATCTACAACTGACAGACTATTTCTGAAACAAATAGTTCTATAAAATGCCAAATTAGAGGGCCAGGGGTATAGCTCAGTGGTAAAGGACTTTTGTCTAACCAGACGTGAGGCCCTGGGTTTGAAGTTCAACACTGAAAGAAATTTCAAACAAAAGTAAAGTGCCAACTTTTTAGAAAAATCTTTGTATATTACAAAGAAGTGTCTAAGTGTCCCTGAGGCAATGCAAAACAGCATGGAAAGATGCACATTAGACTGAATATAATGCAAGCTTAAGTGTAATATTTGTGTCTATTTCCACAAGAATTATGGGAGACATACTTGTGGAAATATCAGTGTGAGGATTCACTATACTCTTTTCTAGTCTCTCCTAGATTCACACTTAGCGGTAAAAATCTGGAAGAATTACTGTGACTGATTCGAAACTATTGAATCCAGGTGTGTCACAGTCCTAAACCTACCACCCCCACTTTCTAGGGAAATGGCCTCACGTATTGCAGACTGAATCATCGATATTTTTGTGGTATAGTGACTATAAAGTCTAAGCACGCACACTTTATAACGTCAGTTTTGTCATTTCGTATTAAAACAAGGCCTGGCCAGCTAAGTGACTCAGCGGGTAAAGGTGCCTACCAGCAAGTAGAGCGGCCTGAGTCAGACTCCCAGAACCCACACGGGGCGGGGAGGGAGCAGAACTGACTCCTGCAAGTCGTCCTCTGACCTTTGTACACACACCACGAAAGATGTGAACCCACGCAGACACACAGACACCAAGAAACAAACACACAAAGTGAGATGCTACTCAGTGTAATCAGGGAAGAGGTCAGTCAACTACAGTTCCTTTCGGTTCTCAGAGAGGGACGGCATGAGTGCCAGTTACCAATAACCTACACCCGGTTTTATTTACATATTCTTTTTAGAAAGGGTGTTTCAAAGTTCAGCTAGCCTAAGAGAAGACACTGAAGGCCCATGTATTCTCCAGCCCCAACTCGTAACTCTAGCCATCGTAACAGATACACTGTGAACACTAATGGAGATTATCTTTGCTTCAGGAAAACCCTAGGGTGCTAAATAGAGAACTTACTGCCCAAAGTAAGAGAGGGGATTTCTCCTGACTCTGTCACACCCACATGCCTGGGCATCTTAATCTCCTCACTGTTCCTTTCTAACCCAAAGTAAAAGTGCAACCAGATCACAATGTGTACCCTTCAGTGTCCTTAGACGAAAGAGAAATAAATGCAACTCTAAGGTAAAGTTACATTTATTTAATGTAATTAAATAAATTTAATTAATCAATAATTTAATTTAATTAGTGAATAACTACAGCTGGATGCAGTTGTGGGTGTGGTTGTTCATTCCTGGAATCCCAACATCTGGAAGGCCAAGTCAGGATTCTTGCACCAGTCCAAAGTCAGCCTTACAAACACATTAAGAGTGTAGAGTAAGACCCAATCTCAAAAACTGATTAACCAGCCAACTGATAAATGTAATTGACTTTAAAGGAAAATAAGAGTCACAGTGCCTGCTTATTTGGCGAGAAAATTACTCATGAATTTAGTCAGAAGCAACATTTCTGAGCGGCTGAACCCACTTGGCGTCATGTGAGTGTGTCTATATGCTCAGTGTACTGCCCACAGGATGCCTGCAGCCCCTACGTGTGAATGCACCGTGCAAGAAACTTTCACAACTCAAAGCACACACAGCAGAGGAAGAAAGACAAGGAGCATTAACAAGATTCAATTTCCCACCACACGAAACAATCTTCAGTATTCGCACGCCTCCATTTGTGTTCTTTAAGGCGATTTACATCTATCACGTTGGCGATCTATTCTACAAATTCACTCAGGTTGTAAGAAATTGCAGCCCACACCCACCATCACCACATCCAACCACACTCACACCCTTGAAACGGAAACACAAGGTCTTTCGTGCAGTAAGTCCGAGAAGGCCCAGGAACTTAGCTATGTTCTTCAGTCAGTTTATCGCACCTACCCCCACCCAACCCACCCCTAACCCTTCCACCACCCTGCAGTGTAAATAAGAACTAAGCAGTCGGTCCTCTGGCTAACTTCTCTTACAGAAGAATTTGAGGCTTTTTTTTTTTTTAAACCAAAAGGCAAAGTGTTTCAAATCATGAAAAAGTTTGCCGTCTGGATTTTTACGTTCCACACCTGCCGTCTGGAATTCTCAGGCTTGGAGGGGCAAATGTTCTGAAGTCTGAGCTAAGTTAATTTACTTTTAAGACTGTATATATCTCGTGGGACGTGTGGAGACTGCCCCACTCCAACACACCGGCTGTATGTCATTCCAACTCAATCAATCCAACATGGAACGTCCCCACAAGGGACCGGCAAAGTACGAAGTGAGCGCCAATCCTAGGCAAGCCCCTCTCTAGGTCCATCCACCCCTGTAAGTACTTCGCTACTTACCTTCTTCACCAGGTAGCCCTCCCTGATCCGCTTGGGTTCCATGACTGACAGACAGACGTGCCGGACCCACAGATGCTTTCACGGAGGAGCTCCGTCTCCTCTGAGAGCCGTAGTGCTTGTGGGCTGTCCTTTTTCAGGGAGGTCTCTTTCGAAATTTCTCTTCTGCTGATGACTACGTGATGACATCCTTTTCCCCTCAGTGGGGCGACAAGTCAGAAAAAGGAACTCGACCGCTGAACAGCCCATGCTTTCCTAATGCTGGAAATTAAGTAGTACAACTGATTCAAATATTTACCAGATGTAAATTTGTATTATCATATGTAAAATTCTTCTCCTAAAAATAAAAAAAAAGTGCTAAGCGATGAACAAGAAAACTTTAATGGTTGACACTGCCCTGCTTAGGAATGATTCTTGAGGTTTTAAAAGCCCTTAATAAAAATCCCAGGGAGCTGTCTCCATCCCTACATTTCCATGTGCACCAGCCCATCCAGGTGAGTACTCAACCGCCTACCCTGTCCCCACACTCTTAAGAGGCCCAGGTGTAAAGAAAAATGAAAGCATGAAACTTGCAGGTAAATGGATGGAAATGAAAAATGTTATACTAAAGTAGCCCAGTCCCAGAAAGACAGGTGCCACATGGCCTCTCTTGGTTTTGAATCCTAGCTCCAGATCTTTAGATGTGAAAATGTGACCTGAAGTAACCATAGAAGCCAGGAAAGCAGAATGGGATCATGGCAGGAAGGGGGATGACACACTCTAGAGATGGGCTTAATAGGATACAGCTGTTGTGTGCAGGAAAAGGGGGCGGGGGAGGGGCTTTAACTGAGGAGAGAAGAGGAAGGGTAATACAGAGGGAGAGGGAGGAAGGAAGGACAAATAACACACTGAGGATCTTTGGAAAGTCTTATGGAAAGCATTGTTTCATATGTTTATTTAAAAGTAGATATATGGAGTGTGTGTGTGTGTGTGTGTCTGTGTATTGGAAATGGAGTTGTGCCACAAGAGTCACAGACTATCCAACAGAAACCCCAGTGTCTACTAGGCATGCATGGGAAACTTCCCTTCAAATTGCTGGTCAGAGTGGTCAAGGAAACTCTCAAAACAATAGATAGAAGCATGGTGGCCCACACCTTTAATGCCAGCACTCGGGAGGCAGAGGCAGATGATCTCTGTGAGTCTGAGGCCAGTTTGGTCCACGTAATGAGTTCCAGGACAGCCAGAGCTACATAGAGAGACCACTGTCTCAAGTGGGGAAAGAAAAAAATATAAAGACTAATTGCCATTGCCCTAGGTTGGCTCCAAGATCTTGAAGGTAGAATCCTATTGATGAAGACAGCACACACTTCAGACACATGACATGGAAGACTGGAGATGGAACTGATCTGGGAGGCTCCACCATGAGGACTAGTTCTCATAGCATCAGAAGCTGCTATGCGATCTGCCAGGGAGAAAAGCTAATCAACAATCCCATCCAGTTATAAAGTCTATGAACCACAGCAATGACCTGCCCAGCAAGATATTCCCCAAGGTAGAGCAGTGGCACTTAGATTTTGGGGATAACCAACAATTGTCTAGTTGGATTTAAGGTTCACTTTAAGAGGAGGAACTCAGGCTTGGTACTGTAAACTTAGCCAACTACCCCTGGCTGGAGAGATCTTAGATTCAGAAGAACCTACTGTTGCCTTTTTTCTAAGTCAAGATAGCATAGTTTCTAAAGGTACACTTGATATTTACACCTACAGGTAAGTGTAGCTCTTGACCCTCATCAAATATGCTTCCCTTTTGCAGCAGAGTGAGATCATTCCAGAAAGTCACAACTGGTCAATTGCAGAGAACGACCAACTATGGGGTTCCTGGCCCCAGCTGATACATCTACAACTCAACCCCTACACCGAAAGCTCGGGGGACATTGTGGAAGAGGACTAGAAAGATTATAACAACCAAAAGACTAGGATGCCTACTGCTAGATAGTATCTTCTAGACAGGACAGGGAAGCTGCAACCATAAAATCTCAACCGTATGGTTGATTAAATATGACCTGTATAATGAATGACACCACTTGATAGACCAACATGGAGGGGGAAACCTCACGAGATCGCACCCCTAGATGAAGAGCTACAATCAATGGTTGCTGGGAGATGGAGAGTCAGTTTTCTCCAGGGATAAACCCTCAGAGGTTATCCAATCCCATGTGCTCAGACCTAAATAGTTACATACAAAAGCAACACCAAACATACTAAAGCAACCCCATAAGATTTTATGGAGTTTTTTTGTATTGGGGTGTTTTCTGAAGAGTAACAATAATAATATAGAGGAAGGCATTGTTAAGTGGAGAGGGTTAAAAAAATATGAGAGAAATTGGAAGGGGAGGAAAAGGAGTAGAAATTATATAAATAGTATTCATATAGAAAATAGTCTAAAAATAAAAATTTAAATTAAAAATAACTGCCAGGAAGTTCAGAAGCATCTGGCTAGCGTAACAAAAATACCTCCTCTTAAGTGTTTACCTGTTTCTACGCCAGACACTGTAGCGGATGTTGTTCAGCAGGACCCATTTAATTTACTCCCTTGAGAAATCCATGGGGAAAGCATAGTGTTTTCCCTTAGAAATAAGGAAACTCAGACTCAAGAGGAGTGGCTTTCTCAAGTGACACAGCAGATAAAAGCAAAGCCAGAGGGGAGGGCACCTACCTCAGGGTTCTCCCAGTGGACTGAGAGCAAGCTGGCTTTACTCCACCCCAGCTTTTACTGGAGAAGCGCCTTTAACAGTGTGTCTCAAACTTATTTGACTGAAGAACTCTTTTTGAGCAAGCCTTAATAACACTTTGCTGTAGAACAAATTAAAGAAAGAATTCTAACAACCTAGTACCCCAGGATACAATGTATTTGGAAACAGGGTCACCATAGATACAAAATGGTTAGGGAATATGATGCCCTCCTTGTAAAGAGGGGCACCAAATGCAATATAACTGTTCCTTTAAGGAAAAGAGACACACAGAAAGGAAACTCCATTGTGATTGCAGAGGCAGAACTTGAGTAATGAGTTTAGAATCCAAGGGATGCCAAGGAACCAGCTAGAAGACATAAGCAAGGCTGTCTTTTAGAAAACATGGCATTACAGGCATGTAGAAGTAAAGGATAAAATATCTCCGTGTTTTAAGCTACCCACTTGGAGACACTTGATTATAGCTGCTCCGAAAAATATAATGTAGTTTTAAAAAACTAATATTTTACAGAATAAATTTTCATATGACAATGGGACAGTTACTTAGTCACTCACCCTCAGATTTAACATCTATTCTACAGGGATCATAATACCTGTCCGATGAGGCCATTCTGAATATAAAATAAGATAATAGATGTTAGTGATTAGGACATTGTGTGCAGTACAGTGGAGGTCTGTTAATGATAGTTATTCATTACCTTCAGACAAGTTACCATCGTCCTGAGACCAGTCCTTCTCTATAGTAAATTTAACAGAGATTTTTGTATAATCCTTTGGGGTGGTTTCTACGGGATTAAAATCTTTATTCCACTAGATTAGTCCTGATCTTTCAGCTACAATCAACAGGCACCAACCTTGACTATTCTAGGTGTGAAGAAGTTGTGTCTTCAAAGACAGATGAACTGGTCCGAGCTGTAGTGGTGTGGATGAGTTGGGACATTACAAGTCCAGAGGACCTAAGGACACCTCATCTTGGGCTGGATTTCACTCCTAATATAGTGACACATTGTCTTGAGCTAGCTTTCACTCGACACCTCAGCTTGGGCTAGCTTTTACTTCCTGTATAGCCATGCTACTGCCCACCTCTGTGTGGGTGCTAATATCCTGTGACTAATAGACACAAACCTTCTGGAACTTACTATTTCCAACCAACCCCAAAGTTAAAAATGTCATTAGGGAGCATCTGAGACCCATAAGAAAGATTCCCCATCTTGCTCTGCCCTGCCTCTCTGATGTCTCCACAAATGTATTTTTGTGGGATTTTTTAATTTTTTTATTGATTTTATTGAGCTATACATTTTTCTCTGCTCCCTTCTACCCTCCCACAAAGTCCCCATGCTCCCAATTTACTCAGGAGATCTTTTCTTTTTCTACTTCTTATGTAGATTAGATCCATGTTTGTCTCTCTTAGGGTCCTCATTGTTGTCTAGGTTCTCTGGAACTGTGAATTGTAGACTGGTTTTCTTTGCTTTATGTCTAAAAGCCTCTTATGAGTGAGTACATGTGATATTTGTCTTTCTGGGTCTGGGTTACCTCACTCATTATGATGTTTACTAAATTCATACATTTGCCTGCAAATTTCAAGATGTCATTTTTTTCTGCTGTGTAGTACTCCATTGTGTAAATGTACCATATTTTCCTTATCCATTCTTCAGCTGAGGGGCATTTGGTTTGTTTCCAGGTACTGACTATGACAAACAATGCTGCTATGAACATAGTTGAGCACATGTCCTTATGGTATAATTGAGCATCCTTTGGGTATATACCCAAAGGTGGTATTGCTGGGTCTTGAGGAAGGTTGTTTCCTAATTTTCTGAGAAATCGCCATACTGATATCCAAAGGGGCTGGACCACTTTGCACTACCATCAGCAATGCAGGAGTGTTGCCTTTATCCCACATCCTTTCCAACATAAGTTGTCGTGAGAGCTTTTGATCTTGGCCATTCTTACAGGTGTAAGATGGAATCTCAGAATTGTTATGATTTGAATTTCTCTGATGGCTAAGGATGTTGAACATTTCCTTAAGTGCCTTTCATCCATTTTAGATTCCTCTGTTGAGAGTTCTCTGTTTAGGTCTGTATTCCATTTTTTATTGGATTATTTGTTCTTTTGATGAATTTCTTGAGTTCTTTCTATATTTTGGAGACCAGACCTCTGTCTGATGTGGGGTTAGTGAAGATCTTTTCCCATTCTGTAGGCTGTCGTTTTGTCTTGTTGACCATGTCCTTTGCTTTACAGAAGCTTTTCAGTTTCAGGAGGTCCCATTTGTCAATTGTTTCTCTCGGTGTCTGTGCTGCTGGGGTTATATTTAGGAAGTGGTCTCCTGTGCCAAAGAGTTCAAGTGTACTTCTCACTTTCTCTTCTATAAGGTTAAATGTGGCTGGCTTTCTGCTGAGGTTTTTGATCCATTTGGACTTAGTTTTGTGCATGGTAATAGATATGGGTCTATTTTCATTCTTCTACTTGTGGATATCCAGTTATGACAGCACCATTTGTTGAATATGCTTTCTTTTTTCCAGTTTATATTGTTTGC